GTGGCGCTGTGGCTCAAGTGGTAGAGCGCTAGCCTTGAGCTGAAGAGCTGAGGGACAGCGCCCAGGCCCAGAGTTCAGGCCCCACGACCGGACCCAAAAGAAAAAAAAAAGATTTTGTATTTTTTTTTGTCAGTCGTGGGGAAGATCATGATTCTAAGCCTGATCAGTCAAGTCTGTGACTCTTGTCTCCAATTAACCATCAAAAAAGCCATTAAAGCCGGGTGCCGGTGACTCATGCCTGTAATCTTGGCTACTCAGGAGGCCGAGATCTGAGGATCACAGTTCAAAACCAGCCCAGGCAGAAAAGTCCATGAGACTCTTATCTCCAATAAACCACTAGAAAACCAGAAGTGGCGCTGTGGCTCAAGTGGTAGAGCACTTGCCTTGAGCTGAAGAGCTGAGAGATAGTGTCCAAGCCCAGAGTTCAAGCCCCACGACCGACAAAAAAAAAAAGCCATTAAATGGAATGTGGTTCAAATGGCAAGAGCACTAGCCTTGAGCAAAAAAGTACAGGGACAATGCCCAGGCCCTAAGTTCAAGCCCCAAGACCAGCATACACGTGCCTGAGTGCATACACATGCACGTGCATACACAAAGGGAAATAGATTTTAAAAAGCCCTCCTTTTCATTAAAATTGGACTTTTTCAGCCCAGCACCTGTGCCTATAATCCTAGCTACTCAGGAGGCTGATAAGGATCATGGTTGGAAGCCTGCCTAGGTGATATGTGAGACTCCTGTTTTCTACTTAGCCACCAAAAAACCTTCAAGTGGACCTATGGCTCAAGTGTTTCAACGCCTTGAGCAAAAAAACTCAGGGCCTGAGATCAAATCCCAGGACCACCATTTAGAAAAGTCTCATAGTTAACTGTAAGTGACTCAAATACTTTTCAGGATATTTATCTTTTAGGGTTTTTTTCCTTATTCAAGTCCTAGACTTGAACTCAGACTTAGGTGCTGTCCCTGAGCTTTGCTCAAGACTGGAGCTCTAACACTTGGGCCACAGCTCCACTTCCTGCTTCTTGGCAGTTAATTGGAGCTAAGAGTCTCACAGACTAGTAGCTAGGATTACAGATACAACCAACACCAGGTGGCTTACGATGTTTATCTTTTAAACCAAGTAAGCTAAGCCAGTTGCCAGTGGCTCATACTTGTAAATCTATTTACTTGGGAAGCTGAGATTGGGAAGATTTCTGTGCAAGGAGAGCCTAGGCAGAAAAGTTCTTGAGACTCCTTTTCTCAACCCATAGCTAGACATGGTGGCACATGCCTGTGATCCCAATAATGACAAGGTAGATTATGGCTCAAATTATCTGTGAAAAACAGTGCTGGAGGCATAGTTCAGCAGTTTCATGTCAGCTTATCAACTGCAAAGCAAAGCTGTGTGGGTTCAACCTCCTGGTACTACCAACACCCCAACACACGCACGCGCGCGCGCGCAAGCCTGTCATCCTAACTATCTTGAGAAGGCAGAGACGGGAGATCAAGGCTCAATATAGCCCAGGCAAAAGTCTGAGATTCCATCTCAACCAAGGGCAGACCAAATGTGGTAGCTCATGCTTTAGAAATCCCAGTGGTGATGGTGGGGGGAGGGGAGGACTGCAGTTTGAAGACAGGCCTGGCTTGGTCTGGCAGTAAAGTCTGTGAAATTCTCATCTCCAAAAAGGCCAAAATAAAACCAGAAGTGCAGCTGTGGCTCAATTCAAGTCTGTAAGACCCTTATCTCCAATTAACTACCAAAAAAGCCATTAAGTGGAGCTGTGGCTCAAACACCAGCCTTGAGCTCAAAGCTAAAGGACAGTGTTCAGGCCCTGAGTTAAAGCCCCAATACTGGCACAACACACACACACACAGACACACACACACACAGACACACACACACACACACAGCTGACAGAATGGCTCAAGTGGTAGATCACCTGCCTTACAAGAGGCCCCAAATTCAACCTTACGACTATCACCTTAGACAAAACCATTATGACTAACTGAGCTCTCTGCTGAACTCTAGACTTACTGAGCTCTCTTTTCTAGCTCCAGAAGGTAAATCTAACCCAGAATTCCCCCACCATCCTACATATGTGTGTGCACTTACCTCTGCACACATACACGTATACACATATATACACATACACAAAACCAAGAGCTGGCTGCTGTTTCTGATAACTTCTAGGATGACCTGTTACAAGTGACACACAGTTGTTTCAATATGTCAACAAGAGAAGAATGAAAATAAACACATACATGTCTTGCAAATCACATCCTTCTTCAGCTGGAGGGTCCCAAAAATGCAGTGCCACCTTCCAGAGTTTGATCTGCTGATCCCAAGACCGCCGGGAATACTTCTTAAATTTGTTGGGAGTCTTAGGATGGACACCAGGTTGTCGAAGGTGTCTATAAGAAAAAAGCAGGATCAGTAGTTAGAAGGCTAAGCAATCTAGAACTATGGCTCAAGTGGTAGAGTGCCAGCCTTGAGTAAAAAAGATAAAGAGACAGAGCTCAGGCCTTGAATTCAAGCTCCAGTACTGGCACAAAAAAGAGGGAAGGGGTGACATTGTCTAAAATGAAAATGACTTCTTTAGGGCTACAGGCATTGCTTATGTAGGTGCCAAGCCCTGGGTTCAAGGTCCAAAACTACCCCAGAAAAAATAATTAAAACCAATGCCACGTCACCAGTAATGGCATGTCTACAAACCCAGAATTCAGTAGGCTGAAGCAAGAGGACTATTAGTTTTGAGGCAGCCTGGGCTAAGACCCTAACTTAAGGACGCTCTATGTTTGAACCTTACTCTTCTTTTACAGTCTATGCGCTCAATCTTGCAAAGCAGTAAGATTCAGAAAATGATCCTCAGATCTCAGCCTCCTAAGTAGCTAGGATTACAGGCATTGAGCCACCAGTGCCACCTCCTGAGATTCTTATCTCCAATTAATCACCAGAAAACTGGAGGTAGAGCTATGGAAACAGGAAAGTGGTAAACTGCTAGCCTTGAGCAAAAAAAGCTCAGGGACAGCACCCAGGTCCTGAGTTCAAGCCCCAAAACACTACAACCCCCATACCTCCACCCCCCCACACACACACACACAAAGGGTGACACCAATTTTCTCTCCAATTATCTTTAAGGTTCTTTTGCTGTGTATTTTGATAACTGTATATAATTGTTGTGTCCTAAGAATGAAATGTTAAGCCAGGCGCTGGTGGCTCACACCTGTAATCCTAGCTATTCAGGAGGCTGAGATCTGGAGATCACGGTTCAAAGCCAGCCCGGGCAGAAGAGACCGTGAGACTCCCATCTCCAATAAACCACCAGAAAACAGGAAGTGGCGCTGTAGCTCAAGTGGTAGAGCGCTCGCCTTGAGCTGAGGGACAGCGCCCTGGCCCAGAGTTCAAGCCTCACGACCGACCAAAAAAAAAAAAAAGAATGAAATGTTATATAACATGACTTTTTTTTTACTGGCATTAATGACTCATTCATGTAATTCTAGCTACTCAGAAGACTGAGTTCTAAGGATGGGGGTTCAGAGCTACCAAGAAAGCCCATCAGACTTATCTCTAATTAATCAACAAAAAAAATCAAGTAGAGCTGTGGTAGTGATAGAACACTCAGCTTGAGCACAAAAGCTCAGAGACAACACACAAAACCCTGAGTTCAAAACCTAAAACGGGCGTGCACACACAGGAGTACACTATTTATCTTCACATCTGATTTTGCAGACAGACTTGTCTTCCTTTGCACTTAAGCTCCTGTGAGTCTCTAAGATACTTCCTGACAGGTTTGTCTCATATAAACAACTCCTCACAAGTGCAATGCCACAGGGCTGGTTCAGAACACCCAATGAGATGCTACCTGGGGACCTCTTTAATATAGCGATCATAGGCAATTGTGTTTTTTCCATAGTTGATTTGCTTCTGTCTTCTCATCAAGACACACTCATCTGTCTCAACATCAGCCGGCACTGCAGATGTGGACTCCTTTGAATCAGAACTGCAAAATCCAATATACAACAAATACAATTATTTCAAGTCAGTGAAGAAGAGACTAACCAATAAATGCTACTGGGATAATCAGATTTCTCAATCACAATTTCTCTCATTAGCAAATTACAAAGAAATATTTGCACAGCAGATACCTTCCTGATGATGATCTTCTCTCTCTCCCAAAGTCATTGATGAGGAGTTTTCTTTTATATCTGAGAACAAAATAATTGCTGTTTTTAAAAACATTTTTTTTTAAAAAAGCACAACGTTTCCAAGAGCTAAAAGCTGACAGTAATGAAGGCTTTTTTTGTTTTGTTTTGTCGGTCGCAGGGTTGAACTCTGGGCTTGGGCGCTGTCCCTCAGCTCTTCAGCTCAAGGCAAGCGGCTCTACCACTTGAGCCACAGCGCCAATTCCAGTTTCTTCCTGCCCGGGCTGGCTTTGAACCGTGATCCTCAGATCTCAGCCTCCTGAGTAGCTAGGATTACAGGCGTGAGCCACCGGCACCCAGCTAGGAATGAAGGCTTTTTGAGTACTGTGGTTTGGGTTATTTTTAACAACTCCCAAATTGTTTTATTTTTATAAGATAAAAGATTATTTGCCAAGATCGTAATAGCCTGTTTAAAGCAAACCAGTTAGGAGCAAACTGCTTTTGTGCCTTCATACACCACATCTTATCTCCTAGAAAGATTCCCCAGGGAAGAAGAAATCCTAAGAATGCTAGGAGACCTAAATATCTAAGAGGACAGCTAATCCTGCTTCCCTTAATACCATGAGGAACACGAATTGATAAAGAGATCCTGTGCCATCTGCCAGCCACTTGACAACTACAGAAAAGTTCCTGACTAGCATATGTGAAGGAGGGGGGGGGAGTTAAAGACAGAAAAGAAGGGTCAAGCAAGCAAGCAAACCATCCCCCTGATGGGTCTCTGCATTCCATGGCACCACTTCTAACTCCACTGAAGGATTGTCCCTAAGGGTAGTCCTCAAACTGAAAGCAGACTCACTTGGAAGGCTTAGCAGGATGACTAGGCCCCACTCACAGGGAGCACCTTCTTCCCAAGAGGTACTGATGCTACTAGTCTGGTTTTTATCCCCCATGAGGGACTAGACATCAAATTCAAAGCTAATGCACTGCAGGCAAATGGTCTACCACTGAACTACAACCTCTGATCCTAGAGACCAAGTTTTTCTTTTTAATCACTATCAAAAACAAAACTAGGATTTAGTATGTAATTGGGGCATTGGGGAAGGAACCAAAAAATCAGAAAACATTTCAAGGTGGTCCAAAATGGGTACCTTGCAATTTCTTTGTTAACTCTGGTCCTCATTTCATCTTCTTCAACTGCACCTGCCCAGTCTGAACATCTAGTACGGGGCTTAGGGCCTTCAGGAGTGGTAAAGCTACAATAAAGTAAAAATGCACATTTGAACCATCCATCGGATTACTTTCAGTTTCCTTTCAAATCATTTAGAAAATAATCACAAACTGTTTAAGCAAATGCCAAGGAAGTAGACTTTGCTTCACACTTTTTCTTTTAACTTCACTGAGTTTGGGCATTCTTAAAGCCTTTCTGACTTCATTAGACCACCTCTACTCACCTGCTCCGGTTCAGTCTCATTAAACAGGGACACAGCCCACTGACTACAACTAGTTCTGTTTTTTCAGGACTTAAAAAGATTTTAACACAGGATTAGTATAAAGAACAGTGACCAACATACAGTGGCCCCAGGGTTTACCTCTTAGATGCTCAAAAGTCAGAACATGGGCTATATTCATCACAACTACCATAAAGATGTAAAAAAAAAAAAAAAAAAGACGCGAATGCAGCGTCAAGTGTCCTTGCTGCAGTACAAAGCATAATGGTACATCCCCTACAGCTAGGCTAAATTTCAATCTAACCCAGGAATTTAGTTCTACTTCAAAGTCAAGCAACTGTTTGAGGGTTTTTTGGGGGGAGGGGGGTAGGTCTGGGGTTTGAACTCCGCCTGGGTGATATCTACCACTTTGAGCCACAGCTCCCCTTCCAGCTTTTTGGTGATTAATATGAGTCTCATAGACTTTCCTGCCCAGACTGGCATCAAACTGTGATCCTCAGATCTTGGCCTCCAGAATAGCTAGGATTAGAGGCATGAGCCACCAGCACTCAGCTGAAAGAAAATCTTTAGCCACAGGTGATGTCATATACTTGCAACCTCAGCACTCAAGAGGCTGAGGCAGGCTGGACTCCAGTGGCTCAAGCGTGTAATCCTAGCTACCCAGGGGTCTGGATCTGAGGATTATGGTTCAAACCCAGCCCAAGCAGGAAAATACGTGAGACTCTTATCTCCAATCAACTATCAAAAAGCCAGAAATGGCGCTGTGGCAGAGTATTTACTCTGAGCACAAAAGCTCAGAGACAGCGCCCAGGCCCTGAGTTCAAGGCCCTGACAAAGACTGAGTCACGAGGATCATGAGTTTGAGGCCAGCATGGGTTACTTAATAAGAGACTATCTCAGGGATGGGAAGGTGGCTCTGTGTTACAGTGCTTGCCTTGCATGAATGAGGCTGTGGGTTCGATTTCTCAGCACCACATAAACAGAAAAAAAAGCCAGAAATGGCACTGTGGCTGAGGGACAGTGCCGAGGTCCAGAGCTCAGACTCCACGACTGGACAAAAATATAAATGAGTAAATAAATGAGTCTATCTCAAGCCAACAAGTTTTTTAAAAGAAAAATAAAAGTTATTCCCACTACTTGAAAACTCAGAACTTCAGGTCAGGACTGGGAAGGTGGCTCAGTGGTAGAGTGCTTGCCTAGCATGCATCAAGCCCTAGGTTCAATTCCTCAATACCACATACACAGAAAAAGCCAGAAGGAACACTGTGGCTCAAGTGGTAGAGTGCTAGTTTTAAGCAAAAGAAGGTCAAGGACAGTGCTCAGGCCCTGAGTTCGAGCCCCAGGGATGGAGAAAAAGAAAAAGCCAATTTGAGGCCAAAACTTCTGGCAATTAAAATTGCTAACCTGATTTCTGCTTACAGACTAGATGTAAATATACGTAGATTGCATTATTCCTCCCCATTTTCCTATTAGATACCACCGGTCCATCAAAACTAAATTCACTACAACAAATAAACAACTTTATGTATTCTAACCGACTCAAATGGTGTGTTTTGAAAACACAGCTGCAGTAACAAATGAATAGTTCACGTAACTTTTTTCCTTCAGACATAGCACACAGAAACATACACTGGATTTCTAAAGTAAATTTCCAGGTAATTGTAGTGGTGCAACTCTAGTCCCTGCTCTATGGAGGCCGAAGCAGTAGGATCAAGAAGCTGGCCTGCACTGCAAAGACCTTGTCCCAATAAGCCAAAAAAAAAAGTATTTTAAAGTAAGCTTTATATGAAATCTTTAAAAGTAAAGCTGATCCAACAATTGTGTAACCAGTGGAGAGTAAAGTCATGGAGCTGGGAATGTGGCTTAGTGGTAGAGTGCTTGCCTAGCATGTATGAAGCCCTGGGCTTGAGTCCTCAGTACTATATAAACAGAAAAAGCCAGAAGTGGTGCTGTGGCTCAAGGGGCACAGAGTGCTGGCCTTGAGCTTCTTTAAAAGAAGTCCAGCGACAGTGCCCAGGCCATGAGTTCAAGTCCCAGAGTTGCCCCCTGCCCCCCCCAAAAGTGGAGTCACAAGAAAGTGTAGCCAGGGCTGGAGCACCCCACTCGGTACCAGGAGTTCTGCTCTAAACCTCCTCACAACAGAGGCCGGCCTATTTCTACCTTGATAACCTGTTTCTTAGGCACTTGCAGCGTTCCTGCCTTTTCACAGCCTGCACAAACATGTGCAGATAGGGAGGATTCAGGTCAGCAAGCTCCCTGCACCCCACCAGGCACAGGCAAGGACAAAGCCCTTGCCATAAAGGAATGAGGCTGGGGCACGCCAGCTGTGAGAGAGCTGCGGCCCAGTCGAGGCCCTTCCACTCTCAGTCCGCCTCTCTACCGCAGCCCGCAGCCGATCCTCTCCACGGTCGGCACCGGCCCTAAGGCCCCCAAACTAGGGCCCGCACGACAATGGTCACCCGACTCCCTCCCCGCGGGCTCGCCGCGCTCTCCCCTCCGCCCCCGCCCCGGCGCCCCTGCACCCACCCGCGGGCCCCGCGTCCCCCCCACTCGCTCCCGAGTGCCCGCAGCGCCCCGGGTCGCCTCAGCCCCGGGTCCCCCCAGCCCCGGGTCCCCCCTGCCACAGGTCCACTCACCCCGGGTCCCCCCAGCCCCGGGATCCCCTCAGTTCCGGGTTCCCTCAGCCCGGGTATCCTCAGCCCAGGTCCCCGCCGCGCCCCGGGTCCCCTCAGCCCGGGTATCCTCAGCCCAGGTCCCCGCCGCGCCCCGGGTCCCCTCAGCCCGGGTCCCCCCAGCCCGGGTCCCCCTCAGCCCCGGGTCCCCCCAGCCCGGGTCCCCCTCAGCCCCGGGTCCCCCTCAGCCCCGGG